TTATGTCAGGCTCCCACTGGTGAACAAAGGACAAAGACTATGCTTTCTTCTGCCGAATTGAACTCTAAAGAAAGAGGTTGCACTGAAATACAGGTGCACTATGCAGAAACAACTTGACAGATTCTCCTTAGAACATTTTATAAAATCCATTACCATCAAGATATCACCAGCTTTCATGACGTCTAATGCCTAAGTACACACAATCAGAAAATCAGAGAACAAAAATCGCTTTCAGAGGGATCGTACAATAATCTGATAATTAGTACATTTTAAATGGAGATATGCATGAAAATTTCTCACACAATAATAGAGCGAATGATTTTCGTTTTATCAGTAGAGCATACGTCAAAAAAAAAAAAAAAAAAAAAAAATTCAAGAGACCAAGACCACGCATGCTCGGAAACAAAAAAAGGGAGTACATTTTAATACATTACATCAGTTCCTGAAGAAGGTTTTTTGCTGTGCAAGAATTTTCTTAAACTTTAATAATGTCTGCATTTTCAATATGAGGCTAGCATGCAAAACGACAGACGACTGAACGAGACATAAGGAACTGCATTTGCTTCAATGTAACCTCTCGCTCATGCCTCATTGTAAACAAATAGCAAGCAGCATTAGATTTAACAAAACCAATTCACTACCCAGGGACACTCTGAAGTTATTATATAGGGAAGGTTGGTAGCACAAGACCCTATGACCAAATTAAAAGGGCCCATAAAAGATGTACATGCGCAGAAGAAAGAAAAATATTTGAGGGACGCAGTCTGGTCTCGATCCGAGATGGCCACCTAGTCTCTGAGCTCCCTCGCCTCGTGGTCCAGCACTCTCATCAGTAATGGTATACCGCAGCCTAACCATGGGAAATAGCTCTTCTTTCCTTGCAGCAATGACAATTCAGGCTAGACAGCATCTGATTGGTTAGCAGCTGACCAATCAGATGCCATCTAGCCAAATCTGTTATCTCTGCAAGGAGAGGAAAGAATCCCCACCGCTTTCTCTCCTCATCTAATAGTGACACTCAGCATGGAATGCCTGCAGGGAGGTTTCGTGCACAACTTCTGTGCAATCTCGGGCTATAGATTGTAAGCTCTAATGAGCAGGGCCCTCTGTTTCCTCTTGTACCAAATTGTATTGAAACGGTTTTATGTCTACTTTCATTTTGTAAAGCACTGCGCAAACTGTTGGTGATATAAAAATCCTGAAGAATAATAATAATAATAATAATAATAATAACTGACAAGCCTGGGTTCACAAAGAAGCAGTGGGGAAACAGCATGCAATTTGGAAAGGAATCGCATGCTAATCTTTGCAGCGCAATTTGCACTGCACGGTATCAGCTAAGGCATCTGGAGTATTTTCATGAAAAAATACTCGGTGCACACACACACACACACACACACACACACACACTATTGGTCACCATGAATGATGTGTTCAAAATACCCCAATGTCAAACTATATATATATATATAAATATTCAAAATCCTTCAGAATAAATCCATACACTCCAATAAAGTCTTCTTATAGTCCACCAGTCAGTGTTTGATCAATTCTCAATGTTCCTCAAACCAATACATCCACTTCAACTCTTAGTACCTCAAAACAAATAAACTAAACATAGTGCATTATCCTTCAACGCAGATGATATTGGTGCGTGTACATCAAAATAGGTGTCCCAGTGATCACATGTACATCCAGTGACTGGAGTTCCTACCCGTACCCAAAGTTAGTAAAAAATTGCTTGCATGTTACACACTCCTCCATACACTGTGAATATGTGCCACACCACACATCAGCCAAGATGGACAGGTAGTGCAGGATTAATAAAACCAACAAAATCTCATGCTCCAGGAACCTGATGCCACTGCGAGGTCAGCTATCCTTCATATACTGTAAATCCGTGCCACGCCAAACATAAATAAGTGGTCAAACATCAATGTGTGGTCTAAATAGTATAACACCTGTCAACCCATATACCTTACCAGATTGACAGGTAGTGCACTCAGGGTTCATGCTCCAGGCTTTTGCTACAAGTACTCTGAAATCAGCGATGTAAATGCCCATAATGGAAATACAAGATCATCGTATAAAACCTTCTTAAAACTTGAATATTTATTAAATGCGCTTCCAAAAAAATGAGTAAATGCAGCATTAAAATCAGCCTTTTAGCTGATTGTCTCCTATTATCAGTCCGGACCTCATCCAAGATGGCCACCGCGATACTTCCAGTAACGTCTGATGTCGCTTGCTGACACATTTCATCATCCCGACTTTTTCAAAGGGTGACAAAACACTTCTCCATGACGACATCACAGAACTGGTGGATGTTAAGAGACCTTGCGCTCCTTCACCTTCCATTTAAGAATGCCCCACAGATGCTCAATACGGTTTAAGGTCTGGAGACATGCTTGGCCAGTCCATCAACTTTACCCTCAACTTCTTTAGCAAGGCAGTGGTCATCTTGGAGGTGTGTTTGGGATCGTTATGTTGGAATACTGCCCTGCGGCCCAGTCTGCGAAGGGAGGGAATCATGCTCTGCTTCAGTATGTCACAGTACATGTTGGCATTCATGGTTTCCTCAACGAACTGTAGCTCCCCAGTGCCGGCAGCACTCATGCAGCCCCAACCATGACACTCCCACCACCATGTTTGACTGTAGGCAAGACACACTTGTCTTTGTACTCTTCACCTGGCTACCGCCACACACGCTTCTCACCATCTGAACCAAATAAGTTTATCTTTGTCTCATCAGACCACAGGACATGGTTCCAGTAATCCATGTCCTTAATCGGCTTGCCTTCAGCAAACTGTTTGCAGGCTTTCTTATGCATCATCTTTAGAAGAGGCTTCCTTCTGGGACGACAGCCATGCAGACCAATTTGATGCAGTGTGCGGCGTATGGTCTGAGCACTGACAGGCTGACCCCCCACCCCTTCAACCTCTGCAGAAATGCTGGCAGCACTCATGTCTATTTCCAAAGACAACCTCTGGATAGGACGTTGAGCATGTGCACTAAACTTCTTTGTTCGACCATGACGAGGTCTGTTCCGAGTGGAACCTGTCCTGTTAAACCGCTGTATGGTCTTGGCTACCATGCTGCAGCTCAGTTTCAGGGTCTTGCCAAATCTCCTTATAGCCTAGGCCATCTTTATGTAGAGCAACAATTCTTTTTTCAGATCCTCAGATTTCTTTGGCATGAGGTGTCATGTTGAACTTCCAGTGACCAGTATGAGTGAGAGCGATACCACCACATTTAACACACCTGCTCCCCATTCACAACTGAGACCTTGTAACACTAACGAGTCACATTGGGCCCAATTTGGACATTTTCACCTATGGGTGTACTCACTTTTGTTGCCAGTGGTTTAGACATTAATGGTTGTGTGTTGAGTTATTTTGAGGGGACAGCAAATTTACACTTACACAAGCTGTAAACTCACTACTTTACAATGTTGCAAAGTGTCATCACATGAAAAGATATAATAAAACATTTACGAAAATGTGAGGGGTGTACTCACTTCTGTGAGGTTATGTATGTATGCATGTATAAAACACATATACATACACACATCTATATTGTTGAAAGTATTGGGATGCCTGCCTTTACACGCACATGTACTTTAAAAGGTATTCCAGTCTTAGTCCTTAGGGTTCAATATTGAGGTGGCCCACAATTTGCAGCTATAACAGTTTCAACTCTCCTAGCAAGGCTGTCTACAAGGTTTAGGAGTATGTCTATGGGAATGTTTGACCATTCTTCTAAAAGCACATTTGTGAGGTCAGGCACTGATGTCGAACAAGAAGGCTTGGCTCGCAGTCTTTGCTCCAATTCATCCCAAAGGTGTACTTATCCTGTTGAGATCAAGTCTCTGTGCAGGCCAGTCAAGTCCCTCCACCCCAAACCTGCTCATCCATGTCTTTATGGACCTTGCTATGTGTACTGGTGCCCAGTCATGTTGGAACAGGAAGGGCCTATCCCCAAACTGTTCCCACAAAGTTGGGAGCATGAAAATGTCCAAAATGTCTTGGTATGCTAATGCATTAAGAGTTCCCTTCACTAGAAAGAAGGGGTCAAAGCCCAATCTCTGAAGACCACCACCACATCATGATCTCCCCCCCACCAAACTTTACACTTAGCACAATGCAGTACAGTTCTCCTGGAAACCGCCAAACCCAGACACGTCCATCAGATTTTCCAGACAGAGAATTGCGAGTTGTCACTCCAGAGAACATGCCTCCACTGCTCTAGAGTCCATTGGCGCCGAGCTTTACACCACAGCATCCAACGCTTTGCATTGCACTTAGTGATGTAAGGCTTGGAAGCAGCTGCTCAGCTATGGAAACTTATTCCATGAAGCTGTCTATGAACAGTCGTTGTGCTAAACTGAAGACCACACAAAGTTTAGAGGTCTTTGGCTATTGACTCTGCAGACAGTTGGAGACTTCTACACACTTCAGCATGCGCTGACCCCACTCTGCCATTTTACGTGGCCTACCACTTCGTAGCCTTGTTGCTGTTCCCAGTTGCTTCCACTTTGTTATAATAACACTAACAGTTGAGCGTGCAATATTTAGTAGCGAGGAAATTTCATGGATGGACCTATTGCACAGGTGGCATCCTATCACGGTACCACGCTTGAACTCATTGAGCTCCTGAGATCGAGCCATTATTTCACAATTGTTTGTTGAAGCAGTCTGCATGTCTAGGTGCTTGCTTTTATACACCTGTGGCCGTGGAGGTGATCACCTGATATATATATTTTAGTTTATTACACACACACACACCTCCATCCACTGTATATTGCTTCTTCAGAGTACAGCTTACATAGATAAAAATTCCTAAACTTGCATTTGTCCTAGATCCAACCTACTCTGGTTGCATTTCCAAAGCTAGATGAATGGCCAGATATGTATTTTCATCTGTGCTTAACTGCTAACGGCTTGGGTACTTTAGAAATAGGAAATTTTGTTGCATACAAGATGACAGTAGAGAGTCTTACCAATTTCAACATCTTTCTCATTACTTGATAGGACTTCCTGAAGCCTCTGCAACAACTCTTTCTCTTCCCCAAGAGCAGAGGGCTCCTCTGTCAAGACTTTCAACTGCTCGCGGGACTTCTCCAGTTCAACAACAAGCTGGTGCTGAGAAGTCTCTTTTATTGACAATGCTTCTTCCAGGGAAGCTTTCTCCGTTGCATAACCTTCAATAAGCCCTGTATCACACAACAGATAATGATTGAAGCATAAATGAATAGAAAAAGGGTTTGCTATACAAAACAAAAGCACAAAAAAACAACAACTATAATCATATGGCATTTTCAAAGTCTTCAGGTCACTCAAAACCCTTAAACCCCCACTTTTTTCTTTTAATAAGCCAGTAGTTTTCAAGTTGCAAGGTACAGAATTTCACAACTGCAGGCCACACAGCGTTTTGTATATTTAATGGAAAACAGAACTTTCAGACTACAAACATTGTATAGGAAATGAGAGTCAGAGACTATGGACATGCTACAGGTTTGGTGGAAAACTAAAAACATGCTTCAGATAACAGTAAGACTGGAGACATGTTACATTAGGTCACAGAAAATTGCTGCTGTACCCATTCCCGCTGCAGATATAAGGAAGGGTATTAACCGCTTCCTGTCCGCCTATAGCAGAAGTACTGCACACACACACGCTCTTTGGCATGTCAATCACTGGGTCCCGGCCGCCCGATTCTCAGCCAGGACCCTGATCGTCGGCAGAGCTGACAAGAAAAAGGTCTGTGTGTAAACTCAGAGCTCTGTCAGCATGAACAGGCTGCTTTGTATTGCTCTGTACAGCACAGCAATAAAAAGCAGATTGTCTACATAGTAAAACACACACAGCACATGGTTATCCCTTAGATCGCCCCAGTTGTTAACCCCTTCCTGCCCAGTGTCATTAGTACAGTGACAGTGCTTTTTATTAACACTGATCACTGTATTTGTGTCACTGAGGATGTCAGTGGCAGTTAGTCAGTTCTCACCCAGTGTGAGAATGCCTGCCACAGTGCCACAATAAGTCGCTGATCACTGCTATTACTAGTTAAATAAATACCAGCATATTCAAAATCGCCATTTGTAGACGCTATAACTTACATGTAAAGCAATTTGCATGTATTGAGATTTTTTTTTTTTTTTTAGCAAAGACATGTAGCAGAATACATTTTGGCCTAAATTTATGAAGAAATTAGATTTTAAAATTTTATCTAGCATACCCCCTATGAGTATGTGCGGTAGCAAAAAACGCGGCAGGGAGGAGCTACAACGCTGTGACGTCAAGCTGCCGAGGCCCTGTGTTGGTCCGGCAGCCGTCTTGCATATACACATGGTCAGTGTCTTTTTGCTTGTTATTCCTTATATTGTACCTGTGACTGGATTATTAAAATTTGAAGCAGTATCACGCTATGTGGCCTCCTCCTTTTTGGGACTCTTGATGAGTCCAACCATCCGCAGAGTTTTGGGAAGGAGAGAGAAGCTGCTGTCATCCACGGGCTATCCAGTGAGGAATCCATACCAGGCTATAGAGGCTCCTTTAAGACGCTACAGTTGACCTGAGATATTGTTCTCTCAAATGTGCAATATTATTGCGCATCTGGTGAGTGCGCAATTTAGTATTTGATTATCACCAGAAGATTTGGGAAGGAATCACTCCTGTATTTGATATCTCACCCTTAGACCTCCACATCTGACTGTTTATGTGGACTTTGCTTGCACTCCTTTAAGACGCTACAGTTGACCTTTCTGGGCAGTGCTAATCACATGCACCCTCCCAAAGAAGAAAAAAAAAAAAAAAAAAAAAAAAAAAACTCTAGAAATACACACTTAACTGATCATGTGCAGAGTGACTCCTAGATCTCTGTACTATCAGCAGATGGATTGGGGACAGCAGAAGAAGGGAAGGATAAGAGAGGAAAGGAACAAACTGCCTTTTTACACAGTGCTGAAGATTAACGCCTTAGGTTCATCAGTAAGTATAATCAAGCATGCTTTACTGCATATACAGACTGATTTTACAGTTGTGGGTTTAGTAACATCAAGTGTTTTTTCTTGTTCGCCAAACTAAGAAATAAGCTAGCAGAACTATTCCTCCAAAGTCAGTAGTTTCACACCAGACCCAGAAGACTCTACAGTCTGCATAAGGAATTTGTCTGGGGCTCCCTTGTCTGCTGTGTGCACACTTCCTCCCGCCTTTCCTAGTGTGCTTGTCAATAGGTTTTCACACACACACAGCCTTGCTAACACTCATTCTGCTCTTTTTCTTTGAAAGTCTGTCTTCTTACCTTGAGCTTTGTGCAGTTCAACCTGCAGCTGGCTTTTCGTCTCGGTCTCCTGTGCAAGCAGTTTCACCAGGTCTTGATTCTTAACCACTACTTGAGCCATCTCTTGATTTCGACTTTTAAACTCCTCCTCAAAAGATTTCTGTATTTCACGAGTCTGCTCTAACTAGAGATGAAAATAGAATGCAAAATTACAACCAACCACAAATAACAGTGCATCAGCCTTTCTCAGCTGGAGTGCCAATGCACCATGGCACACTGTCTTGGTTTGTCAGGAATGACATAAAAAAAAAAAAAAAAAAAAAAAAAAGATTTAAAATTAGAAACTGCAGATCACAGGTTTCACATCATTTGGTTATGGTGCGTAAACATCTGCCTGTATCTTAGCAGAAAATTACATCTATAGGATGCAGGGGGAAATGGCTGGCTGGTGCCAAGAACAAAGAGGTGATATATTGTACATGCTGCATTTTTCAGCAGAACACTGGGAGAATGCTGCATGTCACCTCACCACAGCAAAAAACACATTGTGCTACTCTGCGGAGACAGCGACACTGACACTTCAAAGCGCATTAAAGTTAAAAAAAAAGTAAATATTGTGATGCATACATTGTATTGTCCAGTAGGGGATGATGCAAAGACACAAGCCCATGTTAATTATTAAAGCACTAGTTGTGGTGCTTACTCTTAGATTTTTGTTTTTGTGACAGTTTTTACATGATGGTTAAAACCAATGCAGCAAGGCCAATAATTTTGTTCTCCATGAAAGAAAAATATTCACTCAAATATACTGAGGAGAGCATAAACCATAAATACACCTCTGACATTAGAATATAAAAAGTCATAATGAAGCTATCCTTAAAAAAGGTAAGAAATGTTTTGAATGCTCAAGCTTGCAGGGTTAATTCTGCTGTCATACTTAATGCAGGATGTATAGGAGTAGAACAGTGATCACAGCTTTCTAATCCTGTAGGACCGATTTTTTTTTTAAATGCTGGGCTGCCTAAAGAGGTTACATACATTTAAAGTGTGCAATCACTAAAAAAGGTTGTGAAACACTGCAATGCACCAAGACTTGAAAATGGATTTTAATTTTCTTCAGACTTGCAAGGCATTTCTGCTGCCAAATGGTAGTTAAGGGGAGACCACTCTAGTTGTTAAGAGCATGTTGATATAAGGCCCTAAAAGATATAAAAAGGGTAAAAATATGGTGTTGAATGACATTTGAGCAAATACTAAATAGAGAACTTTCATTATCAAACACAAAAACTGAATCCAGGCAGTTGTGCATGCTGTGCCAAAAAACTACGCCTGTAGCAGACAGTGACTGAATGTGTCTAAGTGGCAACATTCTCATGCCTGAACATCACTCAAAGATAATGCAGACTGATTAGATCATCTTAACACATATCAACCATTGTCTATTTTTCCTACCTGAACTGCAGAATTAGATACCATATCTAGAAGTCTCTCAACAGCGGAGCGTAAGCGCTGGCTCATCTGTATGATCTTCTCTTCATTCTCTAGACCAGCTTCTAGGCTGCCCAGCACATTATCGCACAGATATTCTGATACTTCGTATCCCTCATCTGTGGACATCAGACTGAGTTCTGTCATAGTGTCACAGTCCGGACTCAGGCGATGTTTCTCATTCGCTGAAATAGAAAAGATCAACATAGTTCTAAAATTCTTTGTTAGAACCAATTCACGCCTATGCATTTTCCCCTTGCTGCATTTTACATTGAAATTATTGGAAAAGCTTTTAAATCGCACCATGCAATGCACCTTGTATTGAATGTTAATGGTCACCGAAATGCATATCAACTATATTGATGTGCATCATGAAGTAGGGATGGGCCTCTTACTGAAAGGCGTTCAGATGCTTTCCTATTGATTTAAGTTGAAAACATGTCAAATAAAAATGTGCATAGGTGTGAATAGGCCCTTAGACATTACCTCCACAAAAAAACACAAAAAAAAAAAAAAAAAAAAAAAAAAAAATAAAAAAAAAACCTCTGTACGCCCAGGAAACCATCAGTGACTGACTTATGTGTTCTGATTAAAAACTAGTTACATAACTCCACAATAGCAAGCAAGTAATCCTTACCCCCATCAATGTCTGCATGCATGCTCTGTACATATAAAAATAATTAAGTATGAACTGCTTATGTTTTATAATTTTTTTTTTTTTAATGGATGTACAAAAGTTTGCAAAACCTCTCCACCACTGAATATGAGGGTACCAGTGCTCAAAATGTCAGTGCACATGCTCTAAAACAGGAGGCAGGATTACAGTACAGCAAAGCAGCAGGGGGAGTGCTAATATATCGGTCCTGTATGGTTTTTATGAAAAATAATGGGTTTTAAATAAAAATAAGCACAATACTGTATTGCCAAACAATTTACAGGAATTGATTTAGAAGCCAATATATAAAAACATGTCACACAGCAAACTTTACAAACATTTAATCTTTTAATAGCTAGTTTGCAATATAACTAGAATGGTGGCATTTAATAGCCATCTTGATTTAATATGTTGCTTTACCAAATTATATAGATTAAATTCTCCTTTTCAAAACTCCAGGAAATCTAAAAATACACCTTTGCAGTGGGACTGCACTCACACTTCAAGACTGAACTGCTTGTTATTGTTGAGAGGACTTAGCAAAGTACTAATTCTCCCCTTTTGCAGGCTCCCCTGCGCTGCTAGACTGGTCTCTGCAGCCTCTTTACCCATATGTTCCAGTGGTTTAAAAGGATAAGTTCACCTTTTAGAAAAAAAAAAAAATAATAAATGCACATTTTTTTGCAGGTAAAAAAACATGCATTTATTATTCTCTGCAGGAGTCTGTAAACCATTGCACCAGTGATCAGCAGATCACTGGTGCCATGCAGGTCTCCTGCAGAT